ATAAGACAATGGTGTCGTGCAGCACAATAGAAGAATTATGTCGCGCAGTAGCCTATATACAAAAGACTCAGAAAATTGGAAACATGATGTCGGCCAACGTCTGAATACGGACACAGCAGCTAAAGAAGAAAGATTTTCTTATATACACAGCTTATAAGAATAAGCCACAAAGCACAGCATAATCCATGTTATATGGATTAAATTCAGTCTGATATATAATTATACTTGTATAACTATTATTATGATAGCGCACCTTGTCGGGAACTTTCTCCTAAACGTGCCTTATGTAGAATGGTGAAGGTGAAGAGCCCTTTAGTCAGTTTAGAATTCCTTCACCACAATTCGTTTAAACACATGTGTTAGCCAATTTCTTCATATACTCTGACATTTATAATATATATATTTACTTTAAGGATTTTAGTTGTATTAATTTCTTTACGATTCCTTTTTATTGCGTAAGTAACTACCTAAAGAGAAAAAGAATATAGGTATATATAAAACAAAGTTAAACAGTTAAATCTACAATTATATATTAATACCTAATTTTGTCTACACTATATTTAGCAAAAACACAAACATTTTAAGAAATATTTTAATTTTTATTTCTATTTATCTTCTTAGATGATGACCTCTTCGCTTTGGTTTTTTTGGGTATAACATAAAGACATTCTTCTTCCACTACAAATTCAGTTTCTTTATCTTTTATATCAGCCTCCTTGCTGTCTGCAGAATTGTGAGTAGTATTTTTCTTTAAGTTGACAACCAGTTTAACGTTCAATATGAAAGTGCGTGTCTCATCCAGAGGTTCAGCCAGGGCAACGTCAGGAAAAAACCATTTGCCAAGTACGATTTTGGAACTATTTGAGGATCCTGTTAAGTTTTTACTTTTTTCCATCATGTACTGACATACATTCAATTCGTCAACAGTGCAATTGATATCACGGACCAATAAGGAGTTTTTGACTGTTGGAGCAGCTCCCTGTTTGGTTGGTTTTCGTTCATCTTCACTTTTTTTATCATCTTTAGAAGGTACCTGTGCTACAACTATTTCTTTGTTTCCGTGCATTGCACCGATTTTTTTAGTTGTAACTTCATCTTCTTCAATGACGTCTTCATTCGGGTTTGAAGGTTTTATTTCATGTATAGGATATGGTAAGGTTGATTCAACTTGTGGGATTTCCTTGCTTGGTTCGTTTGGACTACCAACAATTTCGTCTAAAAATCAAACACATTGAATTACATGTAGAATTTAATAGTATGTGAAGAACAAAATAAGTATTCACTTTTCTAGTCTGTTTCAATCGTTTACTGATTTTCAATGGGTGTAGTAGAATTCTAGACACAATAACAATTAGATAATTTCGAGAAGGAATATTTATAAGAACAGTTTTAAAATGGTATAATAGATAATGTGACAGAAAACATTTTAACATATTTTAAACTACTTGAATCGGTCTTTTCAGAAAAAACATGACGTCGAATTAAAAGAAAAACCACGTATATCCAATTTTGGACCAAAATTATATTTTTATTTCTATGGATGGAAAAGCTCCACTATCACCTAGAACAGCTGTCAGAAAAAATATTTCTTTTGAAAAACTCCATGTTTAGTAAGAAAACCGCCTATATACGTTGTACTTGTACTCCTTGAGAATAAAAGAAAAACAATAAAAGATAGGTAAGTTCAATAGTTTATATACCTTTCAATTATATTTAATAACAAACCACCTTTGTTTGTAAATGGTTATGTTTATAAAAACCTCTTAAAAAGGTTATGTTTACTATAGTTATTTAGAAAATCTCGTACATTAGATTTGAGGTTTTCTATCTATACTGAATGGCCTGATGAGTGGTGTGAATCAACCTTGATCCCTATCCATAAAAAAGGATCACTAACCATATGCAGTAATTACAGAACCGTTGCCCTTATCCCTCATGCAAGCAAATCCTGCTACATATAATCAATGAACGGCTAAAGAACTTTTTACTTCCAGAGATAGCCGAAGAACAATGTGGATTTGTACCAGGAAAGGGAATGCGTGAGCAAATAATCAACACCAGACAAATAGTAGAAAAAGCGAGAGAACATAACATACCAATGTTGCTCTGTTTTGTAGATTACACAAAGGCTTTTGATTCAGTAAAATGGGATCCTCTCTGGAGTATAATGGAAAATATGGGAGTACCTAACCACCTAGTTAACCTAATAAGAAATCTGTATAATAAAAACTCAGCCAAAATTAAAGTACATGGAATATATTCAAATGCATTCAAAACAGAGAAAGGAACTAGACAAGGTTGCATACTATCACCATTATTGTACAACATATATTCTGAATATATAATGAGAAAAGTACTAGATGAATGGGATGGAGGAATAACTATAGGAGGCAGAAAAATCAGTAACCTGCGATACGCAGATGACACACTTATACTAGCAGCGAATAAAGTCGAAATGATTACCATCATCGAACGGCTAAGCCGAATAAGTGAAGAATTCGGACTTCAAATCAACACCAGAAAAACAAAAATAATGATTGTAGACAGAGCAAATAATAATCTACCGCATATACGCTAAATAGGGATTTCCGAAGTAGTCGACAGATTTGTATACTTGGGCTCTCTGATAACCAACAATGGTAATTGTTTCTCAGAAATCAAACGTAGACTAGGAATGGCCCGAACCGCAACTGCTAAATTAATTAAAATATGGAAAGACCGAACAATAACAAGGAATACTAAGCTTAGGTTGGTCAATGCCCTTATTTTTCCCATTGCTACATATGCAGCTGAAACATGGACTCTCAAAAAAATCGATAGGAGTAAGATCGAAGCCTTCGAAATGTGGGTATATAGAAGAATTCTACGCGTGTCCTGGACAGAACATAGAACCAACCTGTCAATTCTGGAAGAGCTTCATATAAAAGACAGGCTACTAAAAAAAGTAAACCAAGCATACCTAACTTACTTCGGCCACATAGCTAGAAGAACGGGCACCATGGAACTACTGGTAGTAGAAGGTAAGGTAGAAGGCCGAAGACCAAGAGGAAGATCTCCAATACGATGGGTGGACCAAATGAAGAGTTTGGTGGGAAAATCCCTACATGAAGCCGTCCATATGGCACAAGATCGCAGTTAATGGAGACAGCAGACTAATAATATTTAGGGTGTCACTACGCCCTGACAAGGGCTAAAGGATTGAGGAGGAGGAGGAGTCTATACTGTGGCACAGTGAATGTATGACATTTTACATGTTTTGTACTGATTTACAAATTTTTCTTTCTTGATTATTAGACCTACTATTCTAGTTTTTGGTTTATAAAATAATAAATTGGAACAAAGACTTATAATTTCATAGACCATAATTTCACATTTCTATTATATTTGGTTATTATATTATGTTAACTAAGGTTTATTATTTTATACAGAGATGAGTTGTCGAATTAAACTTCTTGTAGGTTTGGCGCTCAAGAACAAGCAACAAAGTTTGAAAATTAAAGACTGTGATCAACCATCACCTCTACTTGTGACAACTCCTTCTTTGAAAATGGTCCCATACAGTACCCCAAAATTTCTTTCTCTAGGTGAGTTCATAGTATATTATAACGTCATTATATAAATATTTTCATGAATAATGTCGATCAGGATACAACAGCAACAATTTTCCGATATTTTTAGACTACCGTTCACATGATTATGCAAACACTTCGCAGAGAATGGAAGAGTACGAACTTGTTTCTTGCATCGAAGAAAACGGATTCATTTTAAAACCGGTTTCAAAACCTACAGAAGATATTTTCAGTCACATTTCGGAAGAAATGTGACTGAAGAAAGAAAAAATCTTGGGCTTATTCAATTCATTACCAGAATTGGATACAATTACACCGTCTCTAGGACAATAGGACTAGGACTCTAATAGTTAAAGACATACATTTGAATAATGAAGACATTTTTACTGTCACTACTACTGTGCAGCGATCAGTGAACAGTGTAGTAGTGTCTCGGGGCTCGGGAGACTGAGACCTCGGAAGCCCTGAGGAAGGCATCAGAAAGGATGTCGAAAGCTCGGCAAAATGGATATCGATGCGGTTCAAAACGGAAGACTGGTGAGTTTAATATTAATTTTTGTAATAGTATTAATCTTCGCTCTAGGTTTCATTGTACTAACCGTGGAAATCTTTCCGAACATTATATATATATATATATATATATATATATATATATATTGTCATACTTATTTTTCTCAGCCAAAGAGAAAAATAAAAATTATTAAATAGACCATTTAAATAAACTTTCAGGACATCCTGGTAAACAAAATGGTTGCCTCTCAACAACTGATTTTTAAACACTCGCAGGTAAAATCTTTTTATATAGAATTAGAAAGCCCATACTCATTATAATCTTTTCATTGTTTGTATAGGACCTAGTATTAAGATATTGTAATTAACCTTTTGTTATAGAAATGAATTATGTATTTGTAACCAAAGGGAAAGCCAGTTTTAAAGCAAAAATTTCAGTTTCTCTGGAAACAGTAATGGGGTTTTTCTTAATGATTGTAAACAAAATAAAGCTTTTTGATTGGACAGTGTTTTTTGAATGGGTGAATTGATAGTCGATGTATGAGAGAGAGTGGGCAGTTGTCATTGGGATCATCGAAAGGAAAGGTCGCGTCTCGATAAAGGCTGTGTTCGTGAGTTTGGATACCGGCATTGTGAAAGGAAGTTAGCAGAATTGTGGAAGGAGATTACAAGTCGATGAAAAGATATCCTTGGATCTAAAGTGGGCAGTTTCTGGAATACGTAGGAAATAGTTTGTTGGCACCAAGTTGACAGAAAGAGGTCCTTGTGTCATTGAGAAGTAGCTGAGTGTTTGGAGAAATAAAGTTCAAGTGTTAATTGTTGGAGAGTTAAGTCAGGTGTTTCGTACAGTCGCTGCAGGAGGATTGCAGATACGAAAAAAAGAAAGCCGAGGCGAATAGTGGCAGATCACATTGCTGTGGAGCATGGACTACTCTGGGTATGGTCCAAATACAATCTACGAAAGAAAGGTCAGTGATTTTGTGTTCAGAATTAAAAATTTTGTACCTGTGAATGAATTTTGTTGACATCATTGTCGTTACCATTTTAACTAAAGAATAGACTTCATTTGTTAAATCTTTTAAAGTTTTGTTTTTGAAATAAAGTAAATATTGAAAAATTAGAAAGATAAAAAGTTTTAAAGATATTCATTGAAATTAGCTTTAAATTGGTTTTGTCTTCAAGAAGACTTAAAATATTATTTTTGTGTATATTTTATTGTATTCATTTACGTTGATTGATAAGATAACAGCAAAATTTGATAATTGTTTTATTCTTCTTTAAATAAAATAAAGAATAGTGTTCTTTTGTAACATACTATTTTTATTATTATCCTTTTTCTCTATCCCGATAAAGGACAACTAGGAAATCTTTGGACCCACACAACATAGGTTTATATAAGGAGATTTTTCGCTCTGAGAACAATTAAGTTATGTTTTTGATTTGCTCAATTAATCAAGTAAAAAAAAGTAATAACATAATATGTGTATGTAAGGTAAAATTTGGTGTAAATTTTGTGAAGAAAAAGCTTTAATTTCTTGGACAAATGTATATTTACCTTCAGCATCATCAACGCTTCTAGTTCTCCCTCCAGATATCTTGTTATCTTCAGATTCCAACTGCTGACTATTTTCTACGTCACTACAATTTCTTAAATTCGATTTTCCCAAAGGATTTATACTAATTTCGATTTGTTTTCTTTTTAATTTGGGCCAAACGATGAAATGGTGAGAAAGTATCGGTCCTGCGCCACAAAACAACGTTTTATGTTCTTTTATGATATAATCCCCGCTCTCTTTAACAGTAGTAAAGTTTAAAACCTTTTTTTGTTCAGCGTCTTGTTCTAAGATCTCATAGCAAGAAGAGTTTTCACTGTTGGCTGGAGGATCTTGTAAATTTCCAGGTGTGTCTAATAAAATGGAATACGCTTTGGATATTGTTTGATTTTTTGTGTGTTTGTTTTCAGTGATTATAAGAGACTCGGCCCAGCAGATTGAGGTTAAATCAGGATTGGAATTATGAAGACTTAGAAGAGGTTCATTAAGAGACTCTATTTCCTCGTTTTTAAGTATGACATCTTGGAAAGTATTAAATGCTGAATATTCATCTTGGACAGGTGTAGATATAGATGTCTAAAACATATATAATTGTTACTTTATTAATACAATAATAATGCATAAGAATACAAAAATCATGTTTTATCACTAAACTTTTCCTTTAAATAATACATCCTATATTTAATTGAAGAAATAAATTATAAGAGAGGAAATTTTGCCGGCAATATTTTTGATTGGTATGAGAAATTTTCGGGAATTAAATTTTGACAGTTAAATCACGAGACGTCAGTCGAGTGAAGAAAAAGACGAATATATTCAATCATTTAAGAAAATATTGGAACGATAAGACGAATATAATGATCATTTCCGAAAGAATGAGATGTTAAGACGTTCACACGAAATAGGACATTTTGCAGTAACGAAGACGAAAGAGGTACTTAAAAGAGAGTTTTATTTCAAAAACGCAAAAGAGAAGATCAAAATTATCATCACAAATTGCGTGAAGTGAATTTTAGGAAATTAAAAAGAGGGAAAAAAAAGGTTTTCTAAACCCATTACCGAAAGAGGGACCACTTGTCACTTACCATGTCGATCACTTAGGACCCCTTTTGTCAACAAATAAAAATTATAAACACATTTTGGTTATAATTAACGACTTTTCAAAATTTGTGTGGTTATATCCAACAAAGAGCACTACGATAAAAGAACTATTAGATTGTTTATTTAGATTAAGAAGAATAGATATAAGAACTATTAGATTGATTGCTAGACAGCAACAAATTTTTGGGAATCCTAGAAAAATAATAACGGACAAAGGATCGGGATTTACATCTAACGAATTCAAATTATATCGTCAGGAAGAAAATATTGAATGTCTTACCTTTACTACAAGAGTACCAAGAGGAAACGGTCAAGTTGAAAGAACAAATCGGATAATAATACCTATATTAACGAAGCTATCTATTGAAAACCTAACCAAACGGTATAAACACTTAAGTAGAGTGAAACAAGCTTTGAATTCGACGTACCAGAGAACAATAGACTGCACACCATTTGACATATTATTTGGAAAGAAAATGAGAAGTAAGGAAGATGTAAAGATTCAAGAATTAATAGAAAAATAAGTTATCGAAGAATTCTCTGAGCAAAGAGAAGAGATGCGAATTCAGGCTAAGAAGCGCACTGCTAAAATTTAATAAGAGAATAGAGGAGGTTATGACAGGAAAAGAAAAGAAGCTAGAAAATACAAAGAAGGAGAACTAGTCGCTATAAAGAGGACACAGTTTGGACCTGGTCTGAAATTAGATAAAAAGTTTCTTGGGCCTTATGAAGGTATCAAGGTGAAGAGAAATGATAGATACGATGTTATTAAGGTAGGGGTTCATGATGGTCCAAGCAATACGTCTACTTGCGCCGAATATATGAAGCCGTGGATCGATGGAGAATCGGAAGAATCCGAGACGGATTCTTGTCAGGAGGGCGGAGTGTAGATATTTAACAATTTATTAAAATATTAATAAATACTTTATACGTGCAGATATCCACACCCCACGTATGCGCTTGTAACGTCCATATCATGACGATTCAGACAGTCGAATTCATCACCAGCATCATAAGACGTGTTTGTGCCTAGTAACAAAAGCCAAAGATTTTTTGTAAGTGTTATCAATAAAGATTACTACGAATTTACTGTAAAAGTATCATTAAGACGAAGACATATAGGTCGCAAGACGAAATAAAAGCAAGACCTACATTATTCACACAATAAATGATAGCTTCAAATTATTGACTATTATTGATGGAACTGTTTGTAATTATTGTATCCGTAGAAACTAATTTTAATTTTATGCCCAACTAGGAAAAGAGTAGTTTTTCGAAAAAGTGATAAGAGGCAAATAAATTTAAAAATAATGTGTTAAACTAATGATGCCACAAAATTCATTTGATTTGAACGTACCTACTTAAAAGTTTTGGTATGTACACCCTCCTTAAATTTTTTCTGTATGCTTAGATTTTGTTGTTTATTTTGTATGAAAAATACCTTTAGAACAAGAAAGTAACGTGTTCATTTGTATTACAAAATGTTAAGCAGTTTAGGAGATAACGCAAAAAAACAATTTTTATTTTGTAACTTCAAAGGGCTGTAACTTTTTTTGTGTGCGCTGTGATTTAATTTATGCCATACCTTTTTGAAACACCCTGTATTCATTGAAATACGTAAAAATTGGTGTAAAGATTCAAGCAAATTAAATTTTTGTCACAGAGAATAATAAATGGGCGACTCTCACAAGAAATCTGGGCGACTAATGGGCTACTTTATTGTAATCTTAAGAAGGGAAGATTATAGCCGAAAAGAAGCGAATAAATAAACAACACATGAAACCATAAATGATAATAGAAGAAAAATGTGCAACCTAGCAACTACAACAAATACATATACAATCAGTAAAAAACACAAACACAAAACCAGGAAGAAGAGATGGCAATCAAATAGACCTTTTGTTAATTTCTAAAAAATTGACGTAAACAGTACAAGATGTGAGATCTTATAGAGCAAATACGGACACTGATTACATACTATTAATAGCAAAATTAAAGATTAAAATAATCAAAACAAATATTAACAAGCAAAGAAGAAGAAAAATGGAATATAGATAAATTGAACACACAAGAAACAAAACAGCAGTATACTAAAGAATTGGAAGAGCAGAAACTGAGAAGATACAACAATGAGGATAAAGAAAAGGAATCAGCATAATAGAAACGACAGAATAAATAATAGGACAACAAGAAATGAAAAAATCGAGAGCATAGTTTGATGAAGAATATCACAAAAAAAAAAATCAAACTAAAAACTCGTGAGAAACAAAGCTCAAGAGAATAGAAGGCAGAAACAACTAGAACAATACTGAACATCAAAGAAAAAAAGCCACGAAACTCTGTATGAGTTTTTTTATCTCTCAACAAATGCAACAGTTAGAAATAAATAATAAGGATAACAAAAGAATGTTCGAACATATAAAACAACAATACCGTACCAAAAAACAACTATAAAAATATACAAAAAAAAAATACATTTTACGGATCTAAATAAAAGCAGCCAAGAGACATATGCAGAAGACGAAGAAATAACAGATAATAGAGATGTAAAGGAAGACGCACCTACCTATCCAGACTTCATAAATGTCGTAAAGCAAGTTAAACCAAACAAAACTCCAGGGCGAGATGAAAGTAACAACAACTATTTAAAAACGGAATAAAGGAGCTACTGAAATGGATATATAAACTAATAGTCAAAATTTGGAAGGACGAAAACATGCCTGCAAAATAGAAAAACGTACACATTACACCAATTTTTAAGAATCATCATCATTAATAGGGCTACAACTCTTCGTGAGTCTTTGCCGCGTTTACTATTGCCTTCCATGTTTGTCGGTCCTGTGCCAGTAATTCCCATTGTCGCACTCCCAAGTTCTCTAGATCTTCTCTGACTGCATCTTTCCACCTTTTTCTAGGCCGCTCTATAGATCTTCTTCTATCTGGCCTTTCCCAGAACATATTGTTTATAAGACGATTGTCGTTGATGCGTATCACATGTCCTGCCCATCTGAGTCTATTAGCCTTTATATATCTGACTAAATTTTCTTTTTCAAATAGAGACTCTAGCTCGTTATTGTATCTGCCCCTCCATTCGTTTGTCACGCTGTCTCTGCAAGAGCCATATATCATTCGAAGAATTTTACGTTCCCAATTTTTAAGAATGGTGATCCAAATAAGTGCAACAACCATAGAGCTATAATATTACCAAACAAAACGTATATGATCCTAATTACAATTAATAGCAACCAACAAAATTGTTACATAGAAAAGAATGTAGAACACTACAACAGGGATTTAGAAAAAGGAGATGAACA